GTCCGCGGCGGCGCCCAAGGTCGGCCTGGCGGCTCCAGGCTGACACAGGCGCGGCGTCAGCCTGCCGCCGCCTGCAGGCGGCCTGCAGCCGCCGCCGCCGCCGAGAAAACCTGTTTGAGGCGTGCACCTTTCGCGGAATCACGCGCGGCCGCTGCATACAGCGGCGCGGCTTCGGCACGGCCGCGCGTCGGACCGGCAGGGGCCTCGGCAGAGCCAGGGACGGGCCTCGGCAGGGCCAGGGACGGGCCTCGGCAGAGCAGGGACGGGCCTCGGCAGGGCTAGGGACGGGCCTCGGCTGGGCAGGGACGGGCCTCGGCAGGACCAGAGACGGGACTCGGCAGGGTCAGAGATGGGCCTCCGCAGGGCCAGGGACGGGCCTCCGCAGGGCGAGGGACGGGCCTCGGCTGGGCAGGGACGGGCCTCGGCAGGACCAGAGACGGGACTCGGCAGGGCCGGGGACGGGCCTCGGCAGGGCCAGAGACGGGCCTCCGCAGGACCGGAGACGGGCCTCGGCAGGGCCGGGGACGGGCCTCCGCAGAGCAGGGACGGGCCTCGGCAGGGCCAGGGACGGACCCCAGCAGGACCAGGGACGGACCTCGGCAGAGCAGGGATGGACCTCAGCAAAGCGGGGATGGACTTTGGCAGGGTCAGGGATGAAACTTGGCAGGGAAGGGATAGGAGCGCGCATCAGCTCTTCCGACGGGCTGACGTGGGGGTCGCAGGGGGTGACAACGCGGAAAAGGGGACAGGGGAGCAAAGGCAGGCACTGGGGTGGGAAGGACAGGAAGAAAGAAAGGCATGCAGATCGTATAATTGGCGAATGCCTTTTGAATCAAACGGAAAAGGGGCAGAGCGGAAGGTGGCGAGCAAGAGTGTGATCAAGTCATGAAGCTAGTCATTCTTTGTGGTTCAATTTTTGAGACGTTTAATTTCAGTATTTTTGTATAGTTTGGCGAAACATTAAAATTAAACAACGATAGGAAGATTCAAACCGGCCTTACGGGTAGTGTGTGATGTGGGGAAGACTTTGCCTGGTTCAGCCCAGACCAATCCGGGATTCTCAGGTCGCGCAAATTCGATTACGTCCATGAGATTTGTCATTAAATTACTGCAGACACGATGATTGGACTTCAGACGTCGCGGTGCCGATGGGTAATTCGAGCGCGGCCGCTGCGAGCGGCGGATTTCCGGAATCGATGGAACGAGCGCCCGAACGCCACGCGCGGCGTTTCATTTGCGGGGCTTTGCTTAGGCTGCACCAAATGCAATCCCTTTAGTCAGCACAGCGCTGTAATTAGTGTGCGTGCAATCCTTTTAGTCAGCATAACGCTGTAATCAGTGTGCGATGCCAGGAAACGAACAACAAATTTATCGCTTTGTCGACATGACATTTTTTTATGTTTGACACTCGTATATGACGTTTCGTGCTCTAAAGCGTGACGTTACATCGGGGCGGTTCCATTCTTTTTCGCCATAACCTGAAGCCGGTGATCTACAGTTGCTATAATGGACGACGGATCTCGTAAAGGCCAATATCACCAGGGCTTAAATATAAGCCCACGCTGTCTTTTTCAATATGATACGGAACAAAGGAGCTACTAAGGCCATTTGTCTTCAAGCACCGTTCGCTGAGGACATTAAGTGCTTGTCTCCCTTCATTTCCCATCGTAGGAGGGCTCTTCGTTCTGGGACGACCATCATCGAGCACGTGCATTGCTACCTTCGAACGGCTTCTCGCTCGCGTTCGCCCAGAAAAATACAGAGACCACGCAAGGATGGTCGAGAGTGTTTTCACAACAATGATCTGGTAAATTTGCCCGCAAAGCACAGAGCCAAGGCTACAGCTTTTCGGTACACATTGCAAGAGAGTGATCGATGCGAAAGCGACCCTTTAGATGTGACGGGTTCAGTTTCCCAGAGGTAAGATAGGTTGACAAGCTAAGCACAGCTGTTCCCGATAAGACGTCGGTCATCAGATGGTGCCGGTTATTGATTTGTCCTGGACTAGGCGCAGCTTCAAGCTCTTAGTTAATCGCCTCAATTCCCTCCACAGTCTTCTAGCTGCGACTGCGTTCTCTAAGCCCCACCCTTCCCGGGCGGGCCCGAGTGGAAGGGGGGGGGGGCAATGGCAATAATAGTCTCATCCGCATCAGCAAAAAATAAATAATCAAACGGTTATAAAATACATCAACTATCATCACCAGGATTCGATAAGAAGACTACCGGCTACATTACACACCTCACATTGAATTATACATTAAACAGCATATAAGATGCCCCGATAAACGACCAAACAACTGCTGTCCTGGCTTTCCAGAACATGCCTTGCATGGTTGCGCGATAAATGTGTGATTCCTGGGAGAGGGAACGAGCTATTAACAGGTAAATGAAGCCTAGCTAGTGACGAGGGCACGGATGATCGGGTTTTGGATAAAAACGAAGCTTACAAGGAGCGCATGAGACCTACAAAACATGGGCCTGCATTGCCTGTGATAGCATGCAATGCACCATAGTTGTTTCATTCCATTCCCACATTGGGGACGTGGAATAACAGTAATCTGGTCGAGGATGTCCTGACGTTGTTTCATGACGGTACCTGCCGCAAGTACTGTAGGGACTCCATAAATGACAAATAGCTTACGTCATCGATACCAAAGTTGGAATTACGCTATTCAACGGAAAACCTTCATTTTCATCATGTGTCGTTATGGCACTCACAAAACAGCGAAGTGGAATATTGACCTAGGATGACCTAGCCAGTGGGGCCAGGGAATGCTGGTTTTACCTGCAATGATCTTACGGCACGTGCCTGGATGAATTGTCATTGAAAGGGAGTCGAGAGGTCAAGAAATATCTAGATGCTAAATAGTTTGCAAAATTGGAACCTACCGTAGCGTTTGAGACTGAATTTTTACATGACCTAGCGAAACCCGGTCTACCACGCATTGACAAAAACGAGGTCTGGCGCGCATTTCAAGACACCAAAAATTACACATTGGTGGAATTTTCTTAGCAATGATTCTTCACAACCAAAAGGTAAGCGAAAGCGTCACTCTTAGCGCGCGGGTCAAGAAGTCCTTGTCAGGCTGTGCGTTATTCCAGTGCGCGAATTTTGATTTAGATATTCTTGGTCGGAGTACTTTTCCCCAACCAGGTCTGAGATGACGTATGTGTATCCCCTTGCATATACGAGGACGAGTAAGAAGGCAGTTTTTGCATGCTGGCATTGGCATCTCTGGGCAAAACTGGCCTTATCTAACTTTTTCATGTTTTTCTTATTAAACACCGCCTCGATTAGCTTTGTTTATCATTAAGTAGTTTTGCTGCGTCCATGCTTTGGAGTCTATGTCTTGACTTAACTCATTTCAGCACGCATTGAATAAAATGCGGATTTAGAAAGCATTGAAGAACTGCTAAATGTACTTTCCATCTGTCTTAAGTGAGCTTCTCGAGCTGTTCATCTATCTGGTCTAAGCTTGCAGTTTAGGGGGTGTTATCCTTTGGGCCTGCACGCTGCCTGAGTATTGAGCCGTCCCATGTTGTTACCTCTATTCAAAAGCCTTCAGCAAGGTCATGGGTCCAACCACTGGGAGGGGGAGGGGAAGCACGTTTATCTAACGTTTTCTTAGAGAGCTGGATGCTAGGATGCTAGGATTTAAATCACAAAATATTGTGGATCCTCATTTCTAGCAATCTTTCCTATTTCACATTTTTACACACCTGTTTCGACACAAAATGTAACAACTCTGTATTTTAAAATCCTCCAGTATATCTCCATGAAATTCTTGAGTAAGGTAAGTTCTTGAGTTGATTGGCACAAACAAAAGCTAATTATCTAAGTAGCAAAGACTTAGCAAAATTCATCCAATTTTGACAGTCTTCTGTTCTGTTATGTTGACTTTCCATTCGATGCGGTGGGGTCTTGGCAGCCTAGGTATCGAGTGCTGCGCCGTGCCGAAATACCCGACGCTTCTGAGTACAATTTGGTACAAAATCTTTGACCATGTACGCGAATGCATGAAACGCCAACCGTAGCGCATGCACTGGTAGTAAAGCCAACATGCACTCTCAACCTCAGCCTCGCGGTTTTTACCCTTCCCTTTCACTCAGCCCACACTTCCAGAAACTACCAATCAGCATGGATTTCTTGTCTCTTCCATATCTGCCAAATCGGTTCGAGATGAGCAACAAACGGGGTCTGACGCGCAGCATCATTGGCCACTTATTGCTTTCGCGAGCATTTTTCGGAACAGATGGGCAATCCACTGACGACGCAGGCACTATCGCCTCGCGCCATGCAATAGCCAGTCAAGCGCTGGAGGGCCCATAGAGCAAAGATGCCTCCGAGGGAACCCTGAGAAAGGCGGAAATTCCCAGCTACAGCGTGGCCGTATGGGAGACTCCCGAGCAATGGTCCTGGGGACGTCTCCGGCCCGACCCCGGCGTCCAGAGACGCGACTGGAGACAAGGTTGGCGCGCATGCGGCCTGCAAGACGATTGTGTAATGAGAGCACATATGACATGCGTCTGAGCAACCAAAGGAACGGGGTAAGATTCCCCGCGGTGCTCGCCCTTCCGGCCGGGGTGAGAGGCAGGCGACGCCATATAGCCTCAGCAGCTGAGTGCATCGTAAAGCTCCAGTGACGCACACGCACATGTGAAACGAGGCGCGATTGGACGGTCTTGCGATTGGAGTGTCTGTGCGGATTGGATTGGAGTGTATGAGTAACGTGGGTGAGACGTTTGTAAGAAAATCGTTTGAGATGGCTGGCTAAATGATGTAAATTAATGTGTTACACGTCTGGTACTCCTTACTCAGTCTAAACCAAGATTGTGTGGTTTAAACACAGAAAGCCCCGCGGGTTTATCCTTTCAAGCATGAAATCCGGAGTACAATTTTACCCGGGTCGAATTCCCTGACAAGTCCCCAAATTCAGCACGGGTAACAAAAACAATCCCTCTCGCCCCCAGCGCTGCCAGGGTCAGCAGAGATCACTCACCTTCATCGATGTCGCTGCGCGCCGCCGCCTCCAGCAGCATGACGCTGTCGACGAAGTGAATGCGCGCGTCAGCTTGGCGGCGCCGCTGGCTGCGGTTCTCGGCGCCCTTGTGGCGCTTGCTGCCGGCCTCCTTCTCGCGCGCAAAGAAGCGGCGCAGCTGCTCCTTGCGGCGGCGGCGCGCCAGCTTCAGCCGCTCTTGCGTCGACAGCTTCTCGATCAGCGGCATTTCCCGAATCAGGTCATCGTGCTCCATGCTGCCGCGGAGCACCATGGTCGGGATGGCGGCGGGCTCCTCGTGAGGGCGGCGGCAGGCGTCACGCACGGACTAGGCGTGGGCCGCGCCAGGGGACGGGGCTACCTCAGAGAGCGCGGTGAAGAGCCGCCGATCACGAGTCCGTCGGCGCTCCAGCCGAGGTCTCACGGTCCTGGTCGTGACGTCACCGCGCGGCCCGTGCGCCGCTCACGACCACTTGCCACACACGCGACGTGACGCCCTTCACGCGCCGCGCGGGTCACCACCGCGCCGTCACGCCTCCGTCGCGGAACGGAGCCCGTGACGCCGCCGTCACGGCCAGTGCCCGTGACGCCGCCGTCCGGTCCCGTCGCGTGACGCCGCGGCGTTGCCGGCCGCGTCCCCGCGGGGGACGGCGTCAGTCCGCGTCGGCCGTCGCTCCGCCGCCGGCGCCCGTGTCGTCGGCGTCGGGCGTCGGCTCCGACTGCCTCCCGGCGGCAGCGGCGAGGTCGGAGGGCGGCGCGGCCGGGGCTGCGGGCGAGGCGCGCGTTACTGCAGAGGCACAGACCGCGGCGGGCGCCGGCGACGCGGCGCATTGCATGGTAGCAGGGGAAACGCCTCCCAGCGCTGGGAGAGTGAGAGTGCGTCGGGGTTTCACAACGGGGCAAGGGTCAAAGTCAGCGACGGCCAATGCTGGAGCGCAACAATGGAAGCGGGGGAGGGAGAATGCGACGGAGAGAACGGCCCAGCCCGGCCAATTAGAGTTTAGCCAATTAGAACCCAAAGTAGAGTGCGACGACCAAGGAGCGTTTGACCGGACTCAAGAAGCCGAACACGACTGGTCACAAGAAGGGATTCACTAAGGCTGTCCCGAACGGCGTCTGTTTTGTGAGGAGACGGGACGTGAGCGGAAGGTAGCGTGTTCGTAACATGCGATCGCTGCGATGGCGCTCGCGGCACACACGCACGCACGCACGCACGCACGCACGCACGCACGCACGCATGCATGCATGCATGCATGCATGCACACACGCACACCCACACACCCACACACACACAAGACAGGCAGGCACGCACGCACGCACGCATGTATGTATGTACACACACACGCACACACACACACGCACAAGGCACACACGCACGCACGCACGCGCGCACACACGCACACGCGCAAGGCACGTACGCATGCACGCACGTACGCACGCGCGCGCGCGCACCCACACTCCCACACCCACACCCACACACCCACCCACACACACACCCACACACACACCCACACACACACACACACACACACACACACACACACACACACACCACACACACACACACACACACACACACACACACACACACACACACACACACACACCACACACACACACACACACAGAGCGAACGATTCTGTGCGAGCTCACCGCGGACCAGTGCCGTTCCGGCCCTGGCGGATCAGCTGACCGGAAATGGAGGCGAATGGCCGGGGCGGCCCGCCCCGCTGCGGTCACGCCCCTCCCCCCCCCCCTCCCTCGCCCCAGACCCATCACGGATCCGGTCACAGGCTGGTCACGCTGCTGAGCTGTTGGAACGTTGGAGCTGAGCCCTGACCCAAGCCATTACCGACGCACACCCGGGTGCTGCTTGCCGTCAGACAGCATGTAAGCCTTTCCCAGCTGGTAAGGACAAATAGCAGGCTTTGGAGACCCACTTAATGAAAGGAATCAGGCGCGCTGATCGTTCCTCAGCAAGCCTCCATTCTACGGAGTCCGGGCACACGTGCCTTTCATGGTAGCCGGCTAGTGCCTGAACGAGAAAGACCACTCCATTGTCAACTGACATTTCATTTGAGCCGGAGTCGCCCCAGTTTACACGCGAAATGGGAACCACCGGCGCACAATGAGAGGCCTCGCCGATGGTCGCTTGTTTGCCAGCTCGTCATCGAATGACGCCGTCAGAGCGGCGGATCCGGCACGAACGGCCGCCGTAGCCTCGTTCGAGGGAGTCCGTTCCCAGAACGTGGCGCGAGCAGCGCGCTCGCCAGCCGTGGTGGGACGTCGGGGTGGGCCGTTCGCCCGACACGCCACACGTTCTGTTTTCAGCGCAGGCCTGAGCTCTCCGTCTCCCGCCGGCTGGCGTGTTCCGGAGGCGGCGGAAGCGGAGGTGTCGCCGGCGGCGGACGCCGGCGGGGCAAGCCAGTGCCCCGGGTCCCGTTGAGTTAAGAGGCCATCCCGATGGTACAGGCGACGGTTGCTGACGCCGGCGGAGACAACGACCGACTCCAGGTTTTGATACGCATCTGCACCCCACCTAAGGCCTGATGGTAGGCAAAGCAAGCCAATTTTTAAGGTGGTTCCTCCCATGCATCCCGATAGGGTTGATATCAAACCGTCACAAATCGTGGTCTGACCATTTCTCCCTTTCCCCCTTTTGTTCTGACAGCCACGTGCCCCGCGTGAAAAATACCCTTGGAGTCGTAATATCCGTAAAGAACGCCCATGTCCGGGTTTGGCCACAACCAAACCAAATGAGGACAATGGAGAGCTGCTTGCAAGCGCCCCAAACTCGAAAAGCAAACACAGTGCGGGCAGACGGGCGTGGCAGGCAGTCAGCGGCGCGATTACCAGGTGTAATGGCGACACCAAGCACTGCGACCGGCGGGTCGGCGGCTCACCATTTCCGGCCGCGGCAGCACCGCCGGTGCACCCGTCACGGTGACGGCCGCCGTCAGCTGTTGCGCGCGCCCGGTTTCGGCGGGAAACTCTGTCATTAGGCCGGCGCCGGTCGGCGGCAGCGAGTGGGGCACGCCCGAGGGTTCCCGCGCGCTCATGACGCGCGTCGGCCAGCACGTGGTGGTGTGTTCCGGCTCCAGCGCCGGCGTGGGCGGGAGTGCCCAGATAGGCGCAGGTGTGGGAAAGGGGGTAGGCTAACACCAGCGCTGGGAAACGCCCGAGGGCGGCAAAAACGCATCAAAGAAAATGACTTGAAGACGAATCGGACCCCGTCGGCTCCTCGCGTTCCGCGGCTGGGGGACGGAACGGACCTTTTCATCCTGACGGAACGGAATGAGGCGGTGCTGCCGCGATCTGGGCTCGCCCCGGCCCCGCCCACGGTCCGCCGCGTCAATGACACCGTTAATTACGGGGAAACGCCCCCGTGCAGGCGCAAACATGGCGCGCAGGAAACCCGCGCTGATTTTCCCACGGCGCCCGGCGGCTAAGGCCTTTCACGTGCGCGTGGTCTCCGCAGAAACTGCACCTCAAGCCTTTGTGCGCTGCGATTCGCCTCGCGTTCCCAGGCTGCGGCGTGGTGGGATCCCGACGCCGCCCGCCAGTCCTCGCCCGCCGCGACCACGGCGTCTGGCGTGCCCGTACGGACGCAGGCGACGCGCGGGCGCGTATTTCGCGCCTTTTCATAACGCTGAACGCGCGTCGGGGATTTAGAATCGGGATTTCCGATGGAAGCGCTACCCACAACAAATTACATGGGGCGAGTCGAGCGCATTGTCTTATTTCGGTCTTCCTAAATTCCAACCCCATCAAATGAGTGACTGCAATGTTGTCACATTTCCGCTTTGTTTGTGGCCGTTGACGCTACATGTCACAAAAACACTGCTGTAATTAAAATAGCACTCACGTATTCCACGCCTCTCATAGAATCCCGGGGATCATACAAGATCAAAGCCTCGCAGAATTATTGCGTGGTTAGCAATGAAAAATGAGGGGAAAGGGAAGAATATGCGTACATCGGGACAGGACGTCCCGACGCCTTGCGCATTCAGCTCTAAACTTTAACTCTAGTCACTCAACTCTAGTAACTCTAGAGTTAGAGTTATAGCTACAGTGAGAGAAGAACAGTTGCATTGTTGCTGCGGTTTGCCCAAACCCTGGAAGTGCTTCCGATATTCACCAAGAACAGACTGGTTTGACCATGTTTGGACCGCATTCATTTAACCGCATTCATTTAACGGTTGATGGACCCATGAGCTGGTTGTTGAATTAATCGGTGGTTCCAGATTTGCAACAAAATTAACGTGCTAAATTTTCCGCATGGTCTAGTCGCAGCGTCAAATGGTACAATCTAGAAAAGACCCTGAAGCAATTTCGAGTGATCCGGCGCCTGCTTTCTGACATCTTCTTCGTCACGTCCCCATCCTCCCCTGGCACTAAGACCTCTGCCCACACACCCCACCCCCAGCTCAGCACGGCCCGGTCGATGGTCCGCCGTACCCGGCCCGCGGCCCGGCCCCGGCCCCGGCCCCGGTCCCTGGCGACCGTGTGCGTAGTGTAACAAGCTCCAGGTCACTGGAGCACGTGCCCCGGGCCGTCACCAGACGGATGTTGGGAGGAGGCGGGACCACCAGGGAGAGGATGAAGAACACCGGATAGATGTCGGGAAGAGGTGGGACCGCCGGGGATGCAGAACGGCGGGCGGATGCCAGGAAGAGGTGGGACCGCCGGGGATAGGGTGCAGAACACCGGATAGATGTCGGGAAGAGACGTGACCGCCGGGGACCAAGTGCAGGACATTAGACGGATGTCAGGAAGAGGTGGGACCGCCGTGGACCAAGTCTCGGCGGTCACGTCTAGTGCAGAACACTAGACGGATGTCGGGGGAGGCGAGACCGCCGGGGACCAAGTGCAGAATGATGGACAGCGCACGGGTCTGGCGGGGCGCTGCGATTTTCGGGTTGGAGGGTTCACAAAGGCATGGTGTGGTTTAGACAGTGCAAGAATGCTAGGGTAGACAGCTTTCAAATGGGTGTTGAAGCAGAACGCGTATCTAAATCGGATTAGCCATCGTACTTATCAGACTATCATATCAGTTATACATAATTAATTAGAGAACAATCATGTTGTCAGTTCAAAAGGAATATTTTCCGTCAGTTCAGAGACACTTCTCAAGCCATCATACACACACTCCACCTGGTTTATCATGTATTGCTTGCTAACAAATAAATTATATTTTCAGCAAGAATGCACGTTTTTTATGAAATACGTGGGCAGTTCTCATGCTATCTCTACGAACTCTCAGCCGAAAGCATACACCTCGAACGTCTCTAAATGTTACGTCTTCAAGCCTGATTTCGAGACAAGTTACCTTATGGAACACCATCAGCATGCGAACGGGTGCAAAATATTGTCCTCGCGTCCAGACGTCAAACTGTAGTTAACGGTAACAATACGCAGTCGAAAAGAGCATCGATATCTGTTATTTTTCATGTCGTGATTTGTCTGAACAGCCCTCGGTACCACAACAGTTGTGTTGTAAGCCGCTTACAGGGAACACAATGTGCGTGCAGACATTACCGGTTGTGCAGGTTTGCTCGGGTAAGCGGTGG